TATGCATCGCCAAACACTACTGTTCAAAAGTTTGGGGGAAGGAATTTATTTTAAATAGTCTCTTATGCTCAACAAGACAGTAAAATCAATAATATTCTGAAACATTATTGCCGTTTAAAATGTAATTTATTCCTGTGGAAGCAACCTGAAATTTCAGCATCATTACTCCAGTCTTCAGTGCCATATGATCTTTCAGAAATCATTCTAATATGATTTGCTACTCAAGAAACATTTCTTATTGTTATCAATGTTGAAAACAGTTGTGCTTCTTAATATTTTTTTGGAAAAGGACACACTTTTTCATACTTTTTTTGGGGGGGGGGGTATGTAAAAGTTTTTGTTTTCACTTTCAATCAATTGAATTCATCCTTTCTGAATTAAAGAATTAATTTCTAAATAATAATATTTAATAATAAATCAATAAAACTCTTATTGGCCCCAAACTTTTAACCAGGATGGCTATATACATTTTAAAAAGTAAATATACAAGTGTACAAATATATTTTCTCATTCAATTTTCAGTGAAAAATCACTATAATTTTATATATATTATTACTGTGATAAAAAAGTACTCATTTGATCATACCGCCCACCACTAGTGAACGGTTTGTTTTCCTTAGATATAATGGTCCATATAATTCTTTCCCTATACAGGTGCATTCCACTAACATCATTAACACCGAACAAGACATTACAGCAACTACAGTACGAGCTTGTTATGTCAGGTTTGAGAGCTAAACTGCAGGGGAATTAGAAGTTCAAGTCCTTAAACACACAGCTCCCAGAAGCCACAGACTCCACCAGGTTGAAAAGAGTGAAGGAGGCTGGCGGTGATCCAAGCCTGAGATAAAGGCCTCCAACATGTTCCTATAGTTTACAGAGCACGGCATAAAAGGATGTGTCAGAGAATATTTCATGGGCAAACACCTGCATCTCTGGAAACTATTTGGAGGAGAAATGGTAAATATGCTGAATAGTTTATATCAAAAATCTGATTTAGAATGGTATGGGTACTGACGGCATACATTTAGAGTGTTATTTATTGGAGTGCCGTTGAATTGAAACCACGTGTTAGGACACTTTAAAGCTCTGTCTCTGTGTTCTTCAAAGGGAAAAGAGACAGAAATTACCCTTGCCTGCTACACTCTTCCTCGCTGATAACTCCCAAGAACACACGAGTCCCATTTAGGACATGCTTGAAATTTATCACACGGTAAACAAAGTTTTTTCCTTCTGTGCCTCTTCAGTCCTAATTTCAAACACCTCTTGAAACCATTTTGACATTGCAAATCCAGCTGTAAATTTCCATTTAGTCTGAGCTCAGATAATCACCTCTCGCTCTCGGGGTATTTGCTTTCACAGATTTTCTCACCCATTTCTCTTGTTATTATTCAGGTAATCCCTGGCTCAAAGGAGGAAGGCCCAGGGTTATCACCAATAACCCCCTTGAGGCTGACACCATAAACCTCTCTGAAAAGCTTTGGATAGTTGTGGGAAAGTGGGCAGGTGGACTAAAAACCCAAAGAGAGTGATATCTTGTGAGGGTCAGTGGCAAGACAGCAAGTCAAGTTTTCCCCTTTGTTCAGTTCTTGAATTTCAGGCCGAATGGACATTTTTTCCTTTTGCGAGAATGTGTTGGCAGATGTGGAAATTTGAAAGTTACAGCCAATTTAATAGTACCTGACGGGCATTTCAAAGCATACGGACAGAAGTTGGGAAGCAGCTTTTGATTTTACAATGTCCACGTACACACCACAGCTAATTATGGTTGTCACTTGTCTTTAGAGTATTTAATTTCCTTCTGAACTACTCAGAGTTCAATTTACAAAACTGACAGCCACATTTGACAACCTAATTTGGTCCTTTAAAAAAATCACTAAATCATGAAAAATTATGAAAAAATTATACATTTGGAAAAAAAAAACGGTACTATACTATATGATACTATATAAAACGGTAAAAACAGCAATATTGTGAAATATTATTACATTTTAAAATGACTTTTCTATTTTAAAATATAATTTATTTCTGTGATGGCAAAGCTGAATTTTCAGTATCATTACTCCAGTCTTCAGTGTCACACGATCCTTCAGAAATCATTCTAATATGCTGATTTGCTGCTCAAGAAACATTTGTTATTATTATCAATATTGAAAACTGAGATAAACTGAGATCAATTCTTTCAGGATTCTTTAATGAATAGAAAGTTCAAAAGAACAGCATTTATTTGACAGAAAATGTTTGTAACAATTTAGAGTCTTTACTGTCACTTTTGATTAATTCAGTGCATCCTTCATGAATAAAAGTATTCATTCCTTAAAAAAATATTACTAACCCCAAACTTTTAAACAGTAGTGTCTCATATTTAGCTCATACTGCTTCAAAACACCCAACATTTGAAATATTTGGCATCCATGTTTCTTTTGTGAGACACCAAGCTGTTTCCATGCTAATCACTATGTCAACCATCTCAAATTCAAGATGTAACACTTGTATTTTACAGACATATAAAACAATAATTTACTTTTAATTGCATTTAAATGCTGTTCTCACTCCCGAAGCGTGTGTGTATGTGACCTGGTGGCCCTAAAAAGCCTGTTGAGTAGGCCACTAGTACAGATCACTTGGCTGTGAGAGGATCAGCTTCTTCTACCCAAACACTGTCCTTTTTTAATAAAAGAGAAATGGCACAAGAACTTGGATCATCATTAAAGGGCAAAAGACAACCTGTTGACAACAAAGTATGTGTGTCAGGTGTCTGGAGAACATCATTGGTCCATTAACATGGCTTTCAATGTGGCAGTTGACCTGAATAAACATCTGGCTAAACAGCATGAAATGTAAGTTAGTTTAGAGACTTACAATAAATACTTAAAGGGATAGTTCACTCAAAAATATACTTATGTCATTCCAAACCTGTGGATTAAACTCTGTGGAATATTTGAAGAATATCCAAGCCACTATATTCAATATAATGAAAGTGAAGAGCTGACAAGCTCCAAAATGCCAAAAAAGTACCATACAGTACATGTAGTCCATACTACATTATATGACTAGTGCTATAGTAAAAAGTCTTCTGAAGTTATATGACCGTTTTGTATGAAGAACAGACAAATCATTGATTTCAAATCATTCACTTAATATCTAATTATAAGTCGATATTAGCTTAAATTTTAGTCTGTTTCTCACACAAAGCTGTTTGCTTCAAAAGATTTTAAATATAGCACACAAGTCATATGGACTATGATATTTTAATGATACTTTTATGGTGCTTTTCCTTTTTGAAGCTCACAAACACCAGATACCATTCATTATAATAGCACTGAAAAGTACCTTTTGTGTTCCACGGAAGAAAGAAAGGTTAAAATAGTTTGGAATTATATGAGGGTAAATAAATGAAGGCACAATTTTCCTCTCTGTGTGAACTATAGGCTTTTAGGAGTACACAGTAAAAAATAACTGAATTTCACGGTAAAAGACTGTAAAAATGCTACAGTAAAAACCTGTTAAATGGTTAACGGTAAATTTCCCTACTATATACGGTGAAAAACTGTATTGGACATTACATGTGATTTTACGGTAGTATACCATTTTTGGAAGTGAAAAATACCATATAATTTACAGTGAATAACCGTAAATTGACTTTCCCAGAATTGCATTACATTTCCAATTTGATGTTTTTTTGTTGAAAGAACTATGTTTCTTCATAGTTTTTTCTAATCTGTTTTGTATATTAGGGTTGTATGTTACATCTAATGTTGTTAAATGAATGTTTATTGCATTATTTCAGTTTCATGTGTGTTACCATGATGGTGTTTAGTGTTTGTGTGAATGACACTGTGCACCTTCTATGTATGTTATTATTTAAAAGCTGCTTGTGATAGGTTTTGGTTCATCATGTGACTTTCTCATCACCACCTGCATTTGGTGGTTATCAGTGTATTACAAAGGTACAAAACAGATTTCAGTACTTCAATAGGTTGGTATAGTAACATTATATCAGTTAATGAAATTACGGTATTTAACTGTAAATTTAAGTTAAAACTGTAAAACTAAAATGTTGCTACCGTATTTTTTACGGTAAAATTCCGGCAACCACAGCTGCCATTTTTTTACCGTACATTTTATGGAATTTTTTTTACAGTGTATGAAACACTTCAAAATAATTTTGCCTTTTTATGCCATTTTTATTTTATGGCATGTATGCAAGCTGCACCATACTTACAAAAAGTCAAAGCGTGCCTCACAAGAATGCTAATGTTTCATGCCTTCCATGTGCATACTGTACCATACATATTATGCCTTGTAATGACTGGTACTCATGAATCAGTAATGAGTGATGTAGGTAACTGAGATGGCTACAGTCACGTCTGCCTTACAACACAGATACATTTATTTATTTTTTTTAAACAAAACAGAACAACAAAAAAGAGCTCTGAAAGTTTGTGTACTTTCATGATATGAAAAATATGGAAGGTATGACTGACCTGATGCTACATTCTGGAGGTAATATGAGTCATGTGTGAGTAGAGGTTTGTGCATGTGTGCTGCAGCTGAAAGCACTGCTCTGGCCCGAATCGCAATGGTAACCTGATGATCCTGAAGTTTAATGGGAGGGGAGACCCTTTAAGCCCCCCAAAAATGGGACAAATGGGATTGCCCCTGAAGACTGTGAACTAAGTTACCCCATGATTATTGTCACAAACTCTCCTACATACAATTACATGCATAAACTTTGGCTCTAAAAATTGCACTTTTTTCTGTATCAAGTATAGAGAGGAATAGAAAATATAGATAAAAACTAGAACATTATTCAAAAGAATTAGAAAAAAAAAAGTCCAGGTCAGAGTTTAAGTCTAAAACTTAAAAGTGGACCAATGTACAACTGAAAAATCAGGTTTGTTTTATCATTTTTATGGGCACAAAGTACTTCGAAATTTATGAACACAACTTCACTTGTAAAGTATTGAATGCATGCATGTGTTATCAAACTGTCCTACCTCTCTCCTCCTCGTCTTCACTCTCTATCACTTCAGAACTTTAATCAGATGATGCCGTAATTATATATTTATGTTTCAATATTCCACTTTTGCTCCAATGCTTAATCCTGAATGGGGAAACAGAATGCTCTTGTCACCCAGTCCGAAGCAGCTCCTTTTGAGAAATTGATTGCTGTGGTAGTCAGAGCCAGAAGTCCCATGTCTTAGTGCCTCCTCTGTAGACAGGGAAGCCACAGGTCCTAAAACCTGACAGGTTCAAGCTTTTAGTTCACAATGGGAAGAAAGTCATTTTAACGTCTAAAAGGTATGAGAGCCCATTTCTGCCACGAAATAAACAAATAAAAAGGGTAAATGCAACTTTTTATCTCTTAATTCTGACTTTTCTCTTGCATTTCTGAGAATTTTATCTAAAAAGAATTCTATAATTTATCTAGATATAGAATTCTAAAAATAATTCTATATCTCACTATTCTAAAAATAATTGTGAGATATAAACTCAGAATTGCAAGATACAAACTCGCAATTCTGAAAAAAAAACTGGAAAAAAATTGCAAGATGTCAACTCATAATTCTTCAGATTATGTTATATCTGGCAATTTTGAGAAAAAGTCATCTTTAATTTATATCTCAAAATTCTGAATCATTGTCCGAATTTTGAGATATCAACTCAAACTGCAAGAAAAAAAATCTGAATTTTGATATAAAAAAAATTCAGTTTCCTTTTTTTAATATTTTTTATTTAGTAGGAGAAATGGACAGTTCAGCCCCAAAAAAAATTTATTCTGTCATTATTTACTCAGCTAGGCTGGTCAAAAAAATTTCTTTCTTCTGAGATGTTTTGTGGAAAGACCATGCTGCCCTTTTCCATGTAACGATACAAAAGGCACAAAAAAAGTAATTCATCCATCTCTTGGGATATATTGCAAGTCTCCTATATGACACGCCATGCCATAAAGGAATGCACCGAAAATTGATTGTTACAAAAAAATTACAAATAAAAATTTAAGTCACCCTACTACTAGCCATTAAAAGTGCAATGAACATTTTATGTCAGTATTATCAATTTCTGAGTGCAACAAAATATTAAAGGAGAAAAAATGTAGGGTTTTTGCATTTGATTGGGTTGTGAAAAGTGGTCATTGGATCCTATAAAGTGAGTCAGTAAAAAAAAAGGTTTGATGATATCAGCTAAAAAGGAATGTTGTATCAGAGAACAAGCAAAGAATGCATCATGATTTGGCAGGCGGAGGGTCTCCACGTGATGGAATTAGTATTATTTTAGTACTATTAGTATTAAATATAATTCAACTCAAGCACATTAAACAATTTAAAGTATGATGGTTCACAGTGTTTACGTGTCTTCATAGCACACAGCAGACAAATTAGCTAGTGACTAAGGCTTAAAACCTCTAGACGTAACCTATCTCATACTGTGGACTTTAGAGTCTGCATAAGGCTGAGTTAAGAGTGATCCAACTAGTCGTAACCCTTTGATTTGTGTTTGCTGTAGGATTGTAAAGAGTGCATATGCCTCTTAAAATAGCAAGCTGAAGACCAAAACAACACAAAGACACAACAGCAATCACTGGAATTTCACACATGACGCCAGCAGTCACAAATACAATGACAGCCCGGATGACCTCAGAGACGTCACCGGAACATCCATTCTAGCAGTGTAAAAACAGAGAAAATTCTATTTATACAATCCCAATCCTAATCCATTTTCTATAGCCACTACAATTTTTTTCCAAACAATTTAACAGATCTTAACATCGGAAACATTGAGTAGTAATGAAGATATAGTTCAATACGTAAAATTCTATTTATATGGTTTTCCAATTTGTAACTGAACAATTTTTTTGTTGGTGAAAAAAAAAAGAAGTTAAATAGCTAAAGTAGCATACAAAATAGCATATGGTTGATATTAGTTTCTTGTTTACAGAACTGTTGTACAAACGCAACCCCTGCAATATTGCTTAAATTAAAACTGCTCTTGTGACGTGCAGATTCAGAGAGGTACTTGCACAGGATTTCCGAAGTCTTTGCTACATCCTGAGGTAATTCCAAAAACGCAACATAATTATAATGGGATTTCTATAACAAATGCACATTAGATGAAGCATTCCAGTGCAAGTCAGTCCTTGTTAGTTCAATGCCATTTTGCAATATCCAGATTCGTCAAGGCTCATTTGCAAAGCGACGAAGCTGCCCAGCAACACACGTTTGTTTACATTTTGGGGCCAATCAAAGACTCATAAACATGTGTTTTTCCATCTGATGACTGAATTGCAACACTCTCTAAAACATTGCATTTCAAGGCAAGAGAAATGGAGGTACAGAAAACAATTTGCCAGTTAAACAACTTTGTCGGTTTACAACGTTTCACTATTATTCATCAGCAATAATGATGCTTGTCTTGTGAAGTACCACACTAATAAAAACAACTTCTGAATTTGTATCTAAAAGAACAGATATTCAGATCAGTTCCTCAATGTTCTAGCAGCACGGTCTATTTTTCAAATTGCCTGGATCGGGTTTTACATTGAGGAATGGAGGTCACTGTCAGCTTGCTGTTTGTGTTTGTCAAACAAATATATGACACTTTCACTCCATTTTTTCTTCATGGTGTTATATAAAGGTCTGACTTTTCATTGGTGGAGGTGGAGTAATGGATTCTCGCAAACGCACAGATGTACAAAGTCACATGGTGTCAAAATTAAAGAACATCACAATCTATACAATTGCCTCCAAGGGTGATGATGTTGCTTGCAGCATCAAAAAGATTTAAGGGTATATGTGATAGAAAATCATGTTTGCAGACACACAATCAAGTAAATATGTAAATGTAATTTTGAGGTTTTCAGACCGTGGCAGTCCAAACAGTATTGTTTCTTGTTGGTGTTAGCATGGGCTCAATACTCTTGTTTCTCTGATGTTTTCAACAAAAGCAGCAGGGAATGGAAATGTAAGAGTCTGGAAGATGGTCTTGAGTGATCGGCATATAGTTTCAATCAGTATGACAACAGACAGTGGTACAAAAACATGTGCTGACTAACAGGACAAAACTGAAGTAAACACTCCCATGGAAACTGTGTCTTGGTTTTAACATCTAATCATGTTACTCCTGAGCTAGTCTTTCTGGTAACATCTGGTCGACCTAGAAGCTCATTCTGGCCAAGAACCATTCACATGACTATCTGACCGACATTTACTATAAAGCAAGCAACAAAAATGAAACCAGGTGTATACCAGCTGGCTTGCTGGTCGTAGCTGAAGCAAAATCCTTCTAAAACTTACCAAAAGACCAGTCAGACCAGTTAAAGCTAGCAAACAAGTTTAGGCTGGTTTAAAGGAATATTTTATGGAAAAGTAAAAAACTGGTCATCATTTACATACTCTCATGTTGTTCCAAACCTGTATGACTTTCTTTCTTCTGTATGACTTTTCCCATTTCCCATTGACTTTTACGGTTTAGACAAAAACAGCTGAAAGATTATTTAAAAATATCATCTTTCGTGTTCCGCAGAGAAAAGAAATGACATGGAATGACATGAAGGTGAGTAAACGATGACAGGATTTAAATTTTTGAGTAAACTATCGCTTTAAGCAAGCATTGAAAAAGGCACATTCATCTTTTCTTCTATATAATAAACACAGGTAAACAAACCTGAGGAATAGTTGGGTGGAGGTAAATATGCATTATTGCCATTTAAATTGGTTGTAGGCTCCTCTTCATGTCAGTGATCAACACTGTTGTATGCTCTATCTTGCTCAACAAATTTTTCAGATTTTGTGTCAGACCCATCTATTAATTCAAGTTATTGCCATGTGATCTGTAAATGTCTTTAGAAGAGTATGAAATGTGTAACTGGATAGGAACATACTGAACATATCTCTAACAAAGACAAATCACCTTGCATCATGTATATGGATCTCCATAGCCACATCTCTTTTTTGTGCATGTATTATGATATGTAAGGAGCCGTTCAACTTTCACAGTTTTGAGGAATAAGTGTAAACAGACCTTTTACATGGATGCAATCTGTTCGCATTTGACTCGCAGTCAGATGAAAAGAATTACAAGATAATTTCCTATTAATTTCCCCCTCAAAAATACACCCAGAATGGATGAAAAATAAATTCCTAGGTTGTTTGAAATTCTTTCATGAAAATAATCAGTAAGGATTTTGAATCAGGCATGAAAGGAGGATTAATATCTTCAAAAGACTTCAAAGGCAGTACAGTAGCGCACGGCAAAGGACAAAGTAAAAATAATGTAAAAACGCTAGCGTGAAAAGTACAGACTGCAAGGTAGATGAGAGAACCAATGTCTGGAAGATGGTCTTGAGTGATCGGCATATAGTTTCAATCAGTATGACAACAGACAGTGGTACAAAAACATGTGCTGACTAACAGGACAAAACTGAAGTAAACACTCCCATGGAAACTGTGTCTTGGTTTTAACATCTAATCATATTACTCCTGAGCTAGTCTTTCTGGTAACATCTGGTCGACCTAGAAGCTCATTCTGGCCAAGAACCATTCACATGACTATCTGACCGACATTTACTATAAAGCAAGCAACAAAAATGAAACCAGGTGTATACCAGCTGGTTTGCTGGTCGTAGCTGAAGCAAAATCCTTCTAAAACTTACCAAAAGACCAGTCAGACCAGTTAAAGCTAGCAAACAAGTTTAGGCTGGTTTAAAGGAATATTTTATGGAAAAGTAAAAAACTGGTCATCATTTACATACTCTCATGTTGTTCCAAACCTGTATGACTTTCTTTCTTCTGTATGACTTTTCCCATTTCCCATTGACTTTTACGGTTTAGACAAAAACAGCTGAAAGATTATTTAAAAATATCATCTTTCGTGTTCCGCAGAGAAAAGAAATGACATGGAATGACATGAAGGTGAGTAAACGATGACAGGATTTAAATTTTTGAGTAAACTATCGCTTTAAGCAAGCATTGAAAAAGGCACATTCATCTTTTCTTCTATATAATAAACACAGGTAAACAAACCTGAGGAATAGTTGGGTGGAGGTAAATATGCATTATTGCCATTTAAATTGGTTGTAGGCTCCTCTTCATGTCAGTGATCAACACTGTTGTATGCTCTATCTTGCTCAACAAATTTTTCAGATTTTGTGT